TGTAAAGTTTCTCCTCAGCAAACGGCTGGTTTGATGTGTCCTTTTCCAAGAAACCTCCCCCCTTGACTTGAAATTCGTTTAAAGTGCTTTGTAAAGGCAAAACACAGGGCAAAACGATTCTGGAAAGCTCTCACAAACTGTATGAAAGCACAGAGTTCCCCTTGGTGCAGAGCTCGCTGGCACGCCGTGGTAATGCAATGTCATCTCTCTTGTCTTTTCCCATAGCGAGTCAGATGGCAACCCCAGCACAGAAGATGAATCCAGTAAGGGGCAGGAGGATCTATCTCCCCATCCGCTCTCCAGCTCATCTGATGGCGTTACCAGCCTCAGCCTTCCCGGCCACATGGAGCCCGTCTACATGCAGCAGCTTGGAAACACTAAAATAGCCTTGAGCTCATCTGGCGTCTTGTTGAATGGAAACCTCGTGCCTGCCAGTACCTCTCCCGTCTTTCTCAATGGTAGCTCTTTTCTTCAGGGACCTAATGGTGTCATTCTCAACGGACTCAGCGTGGGGGCTTCGCAGACGGTTACCTTAAATTCGCCCAAAACCACGTCGGGTGTTGTGAGCAATGGGGTGTCCATTACTGACATACTGTCGTCTTCGTCAGAAGATGTTAAGGACTTCAAACTCCTTCAGGCTTCAGTCCCCAATGCGGCAGCAGCCACCTTCACCCCCAGCAACATCCCGGTCTCATTCCCGGGATTGATACCGAGCTCAGAGGTGAAAAGGGAAAGCGTACAAACTGCTGCTTCCCAAGATGGAGGCTCTGTAGTTACTTTTACTGCTCCTGTCCAAATAAACCAGTATGGCATTGTCCAGATCCCCAATTCAGGAACAAATGGCCAGCTGCTGAACGGAAGCATCGGTTTTTCTTCTCTGCAGCTGCCTCCTGTTTCTGTGGCAGCTTCACAAGGTAAAAGTTTTGTCTGTTACAGTAAAAGGTATGAGAAGAAGTTGGTATCAGGCACATTTAGCATTTTAGAAGCTTTTCCTCCAAGGTACCAGGATTGTATCTCAGCCATGGCCACACACAGTATGGCAAATAATACCTTTTGCCTTACTTTATGGTAAATTATGCTCATGGGCAGACTGTTAGGAGCAGAGAAGGAGATCTGGTATTTTACACCCCTTTCATCTCATGCTGTTCTCAGAAGTCTGTGATGCCAATCTTCATAAATATCTGTAAATTTTACACGTTTCAGTGATTCAAAATGTTCCCCATTTGCCATTGAATTATTTTAATGAGAAGGTTCATAAAAATGAAAATTGCAGCAGCTGGAAATTGTTACAGTTGTTGTTCTTGTGGTGGTGGTTTTTTTTTGGTTTTGTTTTTTTTTTTTAACCAAAGCATTTCATAAAAATAAATGTTAAATGACTATAGACACAACAAGACCAAGCAGTTACACTGGTACATTTTCTATCCTATAATTAAGGAAGATTAAACTGCAGGGAAACAATACAAATATGCAATAGCTCGTAGATACAAAACACGAGGGTATTTGGATAAAACTGCCCTCGGTCCAAAGGAAATATGTCATCATAGGTTCACGTGCCAAGTGTGCAGTCTCCTCCCCACATTTGCTTTAGAGTTTGTCTTAACATACCATAGATTGAAACTTGCAGCCAGCCAGGAAGAATCCCAGGGAGCACAAACCTAGTTCTGGATCCTTGTTTTGAAGCAGCTCATTTATAAAGCACAACTGGACAGCTTTGTTACTCATTAGCCCCTGTATCTTCGGTTATGAAAATGATTAAACTTGAATGAATCTCTAGTTTCGGGAGCTATGAGTACTATAATGAAAATCGAACTCTGCTCATGTTAGTTAATTGAATGAAAAGTGTATAGAAGGTGCATTATTCTTGCTGTTAAAGTAATACAGGGAGGAACACTGTAGCCATACAAACACATTTTAAATGGGTGAAAAATTACAAAATCCTAGAATGTGGCACTCGCAGTCACTAAAAGTTACTGGTAAAATAGTTTAACCAAGATGAAAAAGCAGAGACAGTTGTCTGAATACCACCTATAATTACAAAAGCCATTTAATCCACATGCTCCCAGGCATAAACTGACAGCCACCAAAGGTGAGAAAGTTCTGTCCCTTAAGTAGTATGGGGCTATTGTATTTGAAAGTCCTAAGATTCATAATAAGTTCCTCTCTGAACACTTTCTCCATTGTTAAAAATACCAATTCCCACTGGAGAGTGATCCGCTGTATGTCCAGTCTGGTGCAGAGAAAAGTCAAGATCCCTATTTGCTGCTTTGATTTATTTTTCTTCTTGTTTTTCTTAACACAAAACAAGTGGATACCTGGGTGTCTATTCCAACTGAAGTGTGCTGCAGGGTATTTTAAGTAAGCTACGTAAATTATATCTTATTGCCAGGTAACCTTCAAGTTGCCTTGCTTTATTCTTCTAGTTCACACATATGAGTAATATCTTCCAAAAAAATCCTTGATTAACGGGAATGAATAGGGAGTTGAAATAGTCCCCGAGTGAGAAATGCATCTTCAGTGCTCTTCTAAAAAATTCAGCTGTTTCTACCTACAGCCTCTTAAAATTGTAATTAAACTGCTTTTGAGAAAGAGAGGTGTTTGAGGTGGGATCCAGTCTTGAGAGCCAGTATATCTTAACTTTAGGAATTATAACAATGATGAGTTATTGTGGCATGTCCAGTAAAACCAACTTCAGGTTGTCTGTGGCCACCACTTCATGCTCTGGTAGCTACAGCATCACAGAAGCAGTGCCATGGCTTTCAGCAAGGGCAGACAGTTGCTGGGTGACTTTACACAGCGTGGAGGGTTAGGCTCTTAGAAATAGGTGACAAAGTGAGCTGAAAGGCAGTACACCAGAGTGCTTGACAGACTGCATGATTAACCTGGTAGAATTTACTGGGTTTTGGTATTTTCTCTGCAGGCTGGCTCAGGTAGGCTCTGCCCAGCAGTCGCGGATTTCATGTGACGTGTCTCCAGTTTCCCACACACAGCTGTAGTCTGTCACTGAACTATCTTTAATAGCTTTTCATGCTTCTATTCTTAGATAGAAATTGAGTGGTGGCAACTAGTGAAGGCCAAAGCGCGTTCGTATTAATCACATGGCCAGGGACTGTTTGCCCCTTAATGAGAGTCTGAAAGATACCTAATATACCAGAACCATGGTGGTTTATTTTTCTTTCTAGAAGCAGTTTCTATTAACGGCTCTTATTTCTTCATAGCAAATTTTGTCCCACCTGTTACAAACAACACTGTTCTGTGCAGTATGAAATATTAGCATATGTGTGTACTGCAAAGATAAAAAAGACCAAAACATCTTCACAAAATGCCTACACAACTCACTGCCAACTATAATCCGTGTTTTCCTTTCTTTCGCTTCCTTTTCTCTAGGTAATGTTTCAGTAAATGCCAGTACATCTGATGGAGTAACTTTTACGACTGACTCTTCAGCAGTGCAGCAAGGAAAGGTCTTCTTCAGCCCCCTCGCTCCGAGCGCAGTCGTTTATACGGTTCCCAATTCAGGCCAGGCAGTAGGCTCTGTCAAGCAAGAAGGACTGGAAAGAAGCCTTGTGTTTTCTCAGTTGATGCCAGTCAGTCAGAACACGCAACTAAATGTAAACATGACTCCTGAAAATATATCCAGCGGAGGCCTCCAGTCCCTAGCCTCCTCGTTAGTGAATGTAACGCCCTCACATAATTTTGCCCTCACACCACCAACTCTTTTAAATGCTGCAGAACTGAACTCTGGTATCTCGGAGAGCCAGTCCATGTCGTCGCCTGTGACCAGTACCTCTACCGTGATATCCATCAGCAACACTAACTATGCAACCCTTCAGAACTGTTCCCTCATTACCAGTCAAGATCTGTTGTCCATTTCTACAGCACAGCCCGCGCTTGGAGAAATCATTTCTACGAGCGGAGACCGTGTCAGCCACCCCTCTGCACAAGTACATCAAGATTTTGTCAGAGAGCACAGGTTAGTTCTGCAAGCCGTACCTGATGTCAAAGAGAATTTCTTGCCTAATTCTGAGAGTAAGTCAACTGGCAATTTAATGATGCTGGATTCGAAAGGCAAGTATGTTATAAGTAACATGGTTGACACAGTTTGTGAAGAACTGGAAACGGACAAAAAAGAACTTGCCAAACTGCAGACAGTTCAGATGGATGAAGATATGCAAGACTTGTAACTTTTTTTTTCTTGCTTTCTGTTTCAATAGATAAGTCTCCTGTTGAGGCCCTAACAAGCACCAAGTGTGTATTTTTTTTGTTGTTTGGTGTTTTTTTTTTTCATTTGAAGAAAACAGAAGAACACTTAAATGGTCTGAATAGATGTACAGAGGAATCTCCAGCAATGGAATTAGGTTGCCACGCTTGGTTTGCATGCAGTATTCTCTTTTAAGCAGATTAAAGGAGAAAGAAAACGCCAGGGCAAGTACCAAGCGAATGGGTACAGGTTTGGCTAAGAGATGCTACCTAGATAGTACATACATACTCTCAACAGTAAGTATACACTCCTGACTTTAGATACAAAACAAAAATCTCGCTCTGAAAAGGTAGAAACAATGCAGTCATTTTTGCTGTTTACTTATAGTCTGTGGGCATTGAGAAATTTTTAAAGAACTCTATAGACGATACCTCACCGGCTACTTTTATGTTGTTTGAGGTTAAGAAACGAAACAGAATCATAAATAGTACTGTTACTGGTGTGTTTGCTTTTTTCCAGCAGACTTGCATTCAAACCAAAAATCTCGCATCAAACATTTACAGGTTTCTAAATGCTACAGCTAGCATTTTGTCAGTACACCAGAAAAAGTATCATTTGAAACTCCAATTATGCAACTCTGAAGCTTTCTCTCCAGTATGAATGTAAATATTTTTTCAGTTCTTATAAAGGAGACTTTTTTTTTAAATTAGTACAGTGGATTTTATTTATGGTTTATGTTCCCTTTCACTTTAGACACAATGCATTGAAAAGGAAAACGTTTTCTGGCTGTTTAATTTATTTTTATTGTTTGAGCAGGAAGTAAGCGTAGTTATTTCTGATGAGGTTTTACTTTTTTTTTTTTGTAGTTTTTCAAGCAATAGACTGTAAAAGTTAAAATGTTAATCACACTGAAACTAGAAAATGAACTCCCAGTCTCACAAACCCAGGAGGTCCCTGTCTCTACCCCATCTGTCTTTGTGTTCAGAAGTTTTTTGTTTGTTTTGTTAGTAATTTGCTAATTAGTTGAACCTTTTTGTGTATTTTTTACAGAATTCCACGTGCCTTTCTTCCTAGTGGCCTTATCTTTGTTACTAAAGCACAGTGGCAGGAGGAATAAAAACACTGATTTGCAAATATCCGTCCTCAGGGTCAGATCCTGATGCCTTACTTCTGCAAGTAGACCCGCTGACTTCAGTGCCCCTACTTGCACGAGTAAGAAGTTTATAAGTCTTTCGGTCATTGTGGGTGACATTTACTAGCGGTGCAGAGAGCCAAAGATAGGTCCTTCTTCACCACGTCAGCAGGGCAGGAGGAGTCCAGAGGGACCATGGGCAGAGCTGTTGTGCTGAGGGAAAGGTCTTGGCTCCCGCCTTGGGCAGATGAGCAGGAGAGGATGGGTGGGCGGGCTGGGGAAGGAAACCCCCTCTTTACACAGACCCATTGGCCAAATAGCTCGTGTGGGAGGGTTTCAGCTGCTGTTCAAGCAAGCAGGCCCCCATCCAGGAGTGCACTTAAGCATTTATTTATATATCCTTCCAGAATAAGCAGCGTAGGGGCTGGTGGTGGGAACTGCAGCTGCTTGTGGGAGCAGCTTTGGTCTCTGCCTGGCTGGAGATGGGTCTCCTCTCCCTTCAGCCCTTTGTGCTGCGCTGGGGACAGCAGAAGCAGGTGGGCTCTGGGCAGGTGGAACAGATCTTACCTTTCCTCCAGAGGAGTTTTTGTAGCATGAAAAAAAGCACATCCTTAAGCTTTAAAATAATAATAAGAATGCAGATGTCTAAAAATGACATGCCGTTAATCTTTGTGGTTTTGTTATTTTTTATTCTAATGTGAATATATCCAGTAACTAAAGCATGTGTTCATCCTCATCAGGGGCCTGGTCCGAAGCCTTTGGAAGGCAATGGGAAATGTTTTCATAAGCTTCTGTTGGCTCTGAATCAGGCTCAGGACAAAACAAGATCACTTGTAAAGGACAAAAAAAAAAAAAAAAGGAAAGGAAAAAGAATAGAGGTAGCACATCCCGGTCTGTTTCTGTCTTGGTTGTTAACTGGTTCTGTGGAAAGCCTTTGAGGAATGAAGGGTTTTTTCTGCACGCTGTGAGCATGGCATAGGCATCATCACTATTGTTTTGCACTATTTGGTGAATACAGCATGTTTTGCAAGGTATTCTGTGGAACCTTGAAGCTGAGCTCTGTCGGTAAGCACTGGAGTCCACGCTGCGAGCCGGAGTCTCTAGGACTGCAGGGAAAAGCGCAGGGAAAGGGACGAGCACGTGTGCAAGGCGTGAACTTTGCAGCAGTCACCGATGCTCTGCAAACAGCAGCAGCCCGTAAGCAGTTGCCTGTCCTCACATGCTCCCAAGCAAAAAGGGTGGTTAAGTCAAGCGCTTTAAAGTGGAGATTATCACAAGCAGAACATGGAGCTATATGTTCCCCTGGCATAACTTCCCTTGACATTCAGGGGATCTCTGCGTGAGCAGGGAATCGGATAGTCCAGAGTCCTCCTCTCTGCTCTGCTTGTTTGCTGGGCTCCAGCGTGAGCAATCTCCTTCCCACCTCTTTGCCCATAAAACCAGGATGATGCTAACAGTAGCTGTATCTGTTTTGCATGAATTTGTTCAACCGTTTGGAAAATTAGAAGGACCCTGTATGATTGTCATATTATTGAGAAAGTGTGCGTGGCTCTGAAGGAGTTGTTCAGGGCTTAACGTTTCATCTGTGAAGCTCAGACTATATTTGGAGGCAAGCTACAGAGTGTTTCAGAGCACTCTCTGTTGTTGACACGATCAGGTCTCTGAAAAGACTGTGGTGTTATGCCAGTACCTGTTACTTTTTAAAATTTTTCCTCCTTTGCTTTTGTTGTGTTACTGAGGCTCTGAATTCCATGGCTTTGCAGCACAGTTGATGTGAAAACTGTGTATGTTGTTACAGTGGCACGTACCTTGGAGTGTCTGGTACTTCTAATAGGAGACTTCCCGCTCTTGAGTGGGAGCAGAGGATGTACATAAAGCAGCGGTTTGGGACAAAGTGAGATTAATCTATGCTAGTCTTCCAGATATCAAGTAACTTATTTTATTATTATGTTTTACTCTTTCTTTCTCCCGTTGAAAATAAGTGTCATTCCCTCCAGATAACGTAGTTATAACCTCATGTTTTCTGCAGGTACATATGCACAATATAAAGACTCATTGCACGGTACAGTGTTTTAAAAATAGATATTTAAATAAGTAGTTTTACTCCTACTGTAAAATAAGAGTCAGTTTTTATTATGTGATCCTCAAGCAAGCAGGCTAACTGCTCTAAATAGACAGTACACAAAGTCCCAGAAATTATCTGGGACCGGATCTTTGGCTGCTGTAAAGAAAGCATTGCTCCACTGATTCCCAAACTGAGGATTTTACACGGTGTTTAGGCGATATGGATGCTCATGTCCCACACGTGTGAATGGCAGTGAGTGTCCAACCCCCCCAGACAGTCCCTATTATCACATTCTGTTGTTTAAATGGCAAGTATGTCTATCTGGCATACATGCTCCTTCTCTTCCCTCCCTCTCTGTTACGGATGAGAATAAAGGATCATTTCAGCTTCACATATGTTTGTAACTTGTAAGTCCACTGGAAATCTTACAGGAGACATTGCCAAATTCTATTACTTTTCTGGTCCCAGACTCAGCTTTGAAAAAATACGCTTAAAGTTTAAGCAAATTCCTACAAAGCATAATGTTAAAAACCCCTTTGTTCTTCACTACTTTTAATTAAAGCTGCCTCTGCTTTGCCGAGAGTTTTGCAGAGAACCAGAAATATATTAAATCGAATGCTCTGTCTGGACTATTTGCAGCATTATTCCTGTGGTCTTACCAAAAAGAACATTTCAGCCACATAAATCACGGACATCTATCGGCCAGGTCCTCGGCTGGGCTAAGCTAGCACAGCTCTATTGACTTTAAATGTCCTTTCATGCCAGCCAAGAATACGGTCCATTCATTTCACTGGAGTTGGATCAGGGACGGATTTGGCCCAGTATGCGGTGGCAGTATGAACCGGTGCACAAGGCTGACACTCAGACAGTTATAACTGAATGGTCAAAGTCTTTCGAAGCATATACCTCTTTCCATTTACTGCTTTGCCCTGCCTGTGGATTCAGGAAGACACATTCAGAAAGCTGCTTTACCCAGAAGTAAGGCTGGAACTATCAATCTGAGATTAATGACAATAAGGGACAGATTCTGACTTCAGATCCTGCAAAATCACCTCAATAACTGTTTTCCGTTAAATTAAGCAGGACAGAATTTGGCCCCACATGCACAGTAGCTTTTCCCCTATGTAGGTTTCCGGTGCCTGTGCACTTTTTGTAGTGAGGGCAGATGAACAACCAAGAGGGTGCATCCCTGCATCCCTTCAGTTTCATATGAAATAAGTGTGCAGGACTCCTGGGGGCATGAATACCTACCTAGTGCTTGTGGTTGAGAACCATCTCAAAACATAAAAAGAATAGTAATTTCGTAACTCTGGAAACAAAAGTAATGACATTTTACAAGCAAGGAGATCTGAAGTCTTCCTGTATCTCCTAGCAGTTATTATCTTGAAGGATATTTTATACCTTACTTGTATGTTTCATATAATTTAAAACTAGCTTCTTACCTTTCTGAACTCAAGGAGGGGGTGAATCTTCTGACTTTCAGGATTCACGTTCAGAGGATGTTTGTTCTTTTTGCTGCATGTACTGTTTGTCCAGAACTAACCGGTTATTTCTGCGATATGGGTTTTATTGTGCCTTACAAGAAATAAGAAATTTAAGCAGAATGTACGCATTAGAGGAGGGAATAATCAGAAGTCTTTACTGCACTGTTAGATGATTCCGCCCCAGAGTGTATCATCAAACATATCTGTGCTTAATGACCCAACCAAAGAGATCTAAAATATGTATGTTTGTTGTACTGTAATAGGGGTTTGTGCCTGGACAATTAAGTGTTTTATTTGTATTC